GATAACTAGGGTCCTTAGAAAATTCCACCACTGGATTGGACCTTCTAATCTTGAAAAAGCAAAGAGAAAGAGAAAACACAAGTACCATCTGCCCACAGCAATGATGACTCTCATGCACTGGCCATTGCTGGGGGAACAGGGATTTAAGTTTACCGAACTCCATATGTTTGATCTGAGCGTTGTCTTAAGCAATAGATGATTGACCTTTCCCAGTCCTGGGACCTGCCAGATATGTGAACTTCACCTCCCAGAATTCCCAGCTAGGATAACCCTTAATAGAAAATTCTGGGGATGGAAGTCCACACATCTGGAGGGTACCCGGGAGAGGAACAGTTGTAATAAATACCAGCAGAGTTGAGAAATGAACTCACCTTTTTTGTTGTGGTTCTTCCTGTCCTCTCTTTTAGGTGATCAGGTGAACAGGAAAGGGAAGACGAGGTGGAGATGGAACTGCCAAATCATGCCAAACAATTGCTGCTGCAGCTTAACCAGCAACGAGCCAAAGGTTTCCTTTGCGATGTGATCATTGTTGTGGAAAATGCCCTCTTCCGTGCCCACAAGAACATCCTGGCAGCCAGCAGCATGTACTTCAAGTCCCTCGTCTTGCATGACAACCTGATCAACTTAGATACTGACATGGTCAACCCCACCGTGTTCCGGCAAATCTTGGACTTTATTTATACTGGCAAGCTCTTAATGGCCGACCAGCCTGGTGAACAGAACTTCGGTGCCCTCCTCACTGCCGCAAGCTACCTCCAACTTCCTGACCTGGCAGCCCTCTGCAGGAAGAAGCTCAAGCGCAATGGGAGGTTGTTCGCTGGCCGGGCTGGTGGAGCCTCCAGCGTTGGGAGGCCGCCTCGGAGTCAGAGACTTGCCACGGCCTCCGTCATTACTCGTTATTCAGGGTCAACCGAAGGGATGAAGGGCTCTCAGTCAAAGGAGATGCCGAAGGGGAAGGTCTCAGATGATGAGGTCTTCATCAGCAGTTCCAGCCAAGAGAATTCTCACGCCTTGAGCAGGGGCCTTGGCAAGAACAGTGGAGATGGGAGTAACAGCACCAATGGGAGCTGTGGGGACCAGGAACTCGGGCTTGATCTGTCCAAAAAGAGCCCCTCCCTCCCAACTGTAGCCCCCCAAGATGACACCCCACACGGCGAAAGCCAGCGTGGCTCCCCCCGACCCGCCTCAGCCCCCACCGCCAACAGTGCCTCATCGTTTGACGAGTCCACCGCTGGAGCCCCCCCCAGCCTAATAGACAACTGTGAGCCCATGGAAATGGACCTGAGCGAAGACCGCCAGTCGCTCCCGGAAGGCAGCCAGCGAAAGAGCCTACGCCACTCCTCGCGCAAGAAGGAGTGGATCAAGAAGGATTGCACCTTTGACCGGAAGGAGGGGGGAGGCAAAGGCAGCGAGGAGGGCGAGGGGCTGCCCAACGGCATCCTGATGGGCCCCTTGTGCAAGTCAGCGGAGCGCGGCCTAGGCTTGGGCCCCTACGGGTCAGAGCTGCCCTTGCACGCGTGCCAAGAGGACGTGGAGAACGGCAAGGAGAACAGCGAAGACAGCGGTCAGAGCGAGAGCGAGAATGGCGGACACAGCAGCGCCAACTACGTCTACCGGCAGGAAGGCTATGAACCTGTGGCCTTTGGGGACAACTTATACGTCTGCATCCCGTGCGGGAAGGGTTTCCCCAGCTCCGAACAACTCAACGCCCACGTAGAGAAACACACCGAAGAAGAGCTGTATATCAAGGAGGAAGGGACGTTCGATGATAAAGAGGAGGAGGCCGAGGATTTATCCAACCCCAGCCAGCCCTACGCCTCGGAATCTCGGCCGTTCAAGTGCTCGGTGTGCGAGAAGAGCTACAAAGATCCAGCCACCCTCCGGCAGCACGAGAAGACTCACTGGCTGACGCGGCCTTTCCCTTGCAACATCTGCGGCAAGATGTTCACCCAGCGGGGCACCATGACTCGGCACATGCGCAGCCACTTGGGCCTCAAGCCCTTTGCGTGCGAGGAGTGCGGGATGCGCTTCACCCGGCAGTATCGACTGACCGAGCACATGCGCGTCCACTCAGGGGAAAAGCCCTACGAATGTCAGCTGTGTGGCGGGAAGTTTACCCAGCAACGAAACCTCATCAGCCACTTGAGAATGCATACCTCTCCCACCTAAAGCCAAAGTCTCTCCATGAGCTCTGAGCCCCACCCACCATAAATATCCCTTAGACTTGCTGCTTTAAAACAAACTATACAAAAAGGGACATTCGGTCCCCTCTTCAGTCATGGAAGGCCTCAACCAAACAGAGCTTTACTTCTTTCTTTCTCCCCCCGCCCCCGTCTTTCCGCTTCCCCTCTTCCAAGAAAGCCCCAGCCCCAATTTAATTGCTGACTCCCCCCCCTTTGCATCAGCTTTTCTCTCAGGGCCCGTGGGGGTCAAAGTGGAGCAAGGAACGCCATTGGCGGCAGGGTTGGCGTGGAGCCCCAGAGGAGCCCCGGTGTAGGAAATGAGGGGTGGTCTAGGAATTCCTTCCAGGTTGACGCCAATTCAAAAGGAGGGCCCCATGGGAGGGGGGGGTAAGATGGTCTTTGTGACTGAAACAAAGGGACTGCCTTCACCACCTCTGTTTACTTTCTTAGCACTTTGGAATCGCAATGATAGAACTCAACCACAGTATTATTTTCGTTCTTCTGACCAACTCCAGGAACACCCTTTGGCCTTTCTGTGGCTGGTGGACAGCCCTCTTTTTTTTTTTGCTTTTGTAATCCTTTGGGGGTTGGGTTTTAGTTTTTACAACGGAATCGGTTAAAATGGATGGTTGTCTCCCCAAAGCTGCAATGGGGGATGTTTCCGGCCAATGGAGTCCAATCCGTTCTTCCTTTATTCTTTCCATGGGGAAGGGGGTTAGTCTCTTTGTGCCTCCTGAAGGGGACAAAGGACATTTTTGTTGGCTGAAAGGGAGGAAGTCTTGTTGGCCCCATTTCTACGTGGTGCTTTCCACCTAGGAAGCTTTTCCTCCATCTGTCCCTTCTCCATCATGTTCCAGGGGAAGAGCTGGTCCGCCTTAACCTTCACACCCTAGTCTTGAAGTCTTTCTCGTCCAACTTTCCTTCCCCACCTCTTTTGATCTCTCTAGCCTTATCCATGACTGAATGGGGGCTGAGTGACCCCCAGGAATTTCTTTCAAGTGAGCAGGGGTCATATCTGTGTTATTTTCCTCCCCCCGCCCTAGTTTTTGTATGAATATTTTTTGCTTAGAGGTACTTGTTCTATTAAGAGGAAAACAATGCATTGTTCATGTTCATGTAAGCGTTGGAACTGGAAAGCTTGAGGGAATTCGACTGAGCGGGCGGGCAATGGGAATTGAAGTAGGCTGGAATTGCTACAAGTTCCTTTAGGTACCTTTTCATTTTTATTTGGGGTGTGTGTGTGCGCGTGCCTGTGTGTGTGTATGCGTGCACTTAGCTTTTTCTCCCTCACTAAAGAATGGGTCAAGATGGCAGGACCCATTTCCTTTTCTACCTCTTGAATTCACGAGAACAATAAGATGGTTAGTGAAATAATTAGGTGTGGTGTTTTGTCCCTCCCCTCCCCTCCCCTCTCCTCCCCCCATTCCCAATTGTAAGTAAGTGTACAAAGTAGAAACTAAACTAAGTTTAAGGGATTTTTACCACCTCGTCCTTCCATCAGAAAGTCAGCTGAAAAGATAGAGTAACAAAGCGAGGCCAAAGAGAATAGGTAGATTCTAAGCTGGAGGCCCGGATAAGTAAGTTGTGGTGCCACCAAATCATTGGGGTTTCTGTCCACAAAGGAATTTTTTTTAGAAGAGCTTATGGGCTTTTGGTAGCCTTGTTTATTGAACCTGGATGCTATGGTGGGAAAATGCCATTTATCCATGGCTTTCCCAGTAGATGGGCACCAGATGAGGCAGTCAACGGCGTAGCTGGTGATCCTGCTAGGATCCAGAGTGCAATAAGAATGTGGGGAAGCCCAACCAAAGTCTTTCATTTCCTTCCTTTTTTGGGTGGCGGTGGGATGCTGGCATGGGTGTGTGCTTTTCCCGCCTTCTGTCATCGTGGTTAAGGATGCCTGAATGCGTGGGCACACATGTTGAGGGTGGGGGGACCAGAAGAATGAAAAGCCATACACCGTCGGTCAAAAGACCTCACCGCCAACAGCTGCTATAGGTGTAGGAGAAGAGGACAGGGTATCACCTACCGTTTTGTGGCCCTCAACTTCGTTGGCATGACCATTGATGAAAAGTGATGGCTTCCCCCCACCCTGTACGGGTGGAGTCTGGTGGTAAAAAAATTTGACTATCCCTTTAGCGCCATCCTATCTAAATTGAGTAAGGTTTACATTTCCCTCCCTCTGCTTTAACTTTTCTTGCTTGAAACCATTGTTCTTTTTATAATTGTTATTATTATGATTAATATTATTAATATTATTATGGTAGGGTTCGGGTTCACCAAAGCCCTATGTCTTTTTTTTTCTTAAAAAAAAAGGAAAAAGAAAAACCTTTTTGTCTTTAAGTTTAGACCAAAAAAAAAAAAAAGCATGTTCAAATAAAACAAAGAGAAGCTTACATGTTTTGTTCCCACCACCACCTTTAAGTGTTTCCCTCCCCCCTTATTAAGATATAGACAAATCCATATTGAATCAGAGGAGCCTGGAATCCGCATTTCATGCAATACAGATCCAACCTAGCCACCATGAGCCGTTGCGCAGGGAAATGTGTCCCCTTCTTCTCTTCCTAAGGATCTTTACCTCACATTTCACTAGGGGCTGCTTTTGAATTCCATGCATCCTCAGGTTTGGGGATTTTTGGTAGTGCCATGGCTTAATTTGTGTCTAATTTTTGTGGGTCACTAATGGAGCATTAATGTGAAAACTCTATTCCCCTTCCCCAGCAGCCCACAGCCATCTTCTTGTGAAATCGCATTCTCTTTTTTTCCATTTTTTAATATATATGTGCATCATTCCTGGCTTTTTGCAGGCAGTGCAAAAAAAACAAAAAAAACAGAACCCCATCCATCTTTACCTTAAACTTTATGCACAGAGCACTGCAACACCCTTGGCATTTCTAGATAATTGAGGAGGGTCTCCCCCATTCTTTGGGTGGAGGCAGCTGACTTCTCAGTGGAGCTGTTTCCTCTATTGGGAGGGAGGGTTTTTTTGTTAGCAAAGGTGCTTCATATCAAGATCCCAAAGGTTTGATGAGCTGTGAGGCCACATGCAATGCCCACATGTGTGTAGAGCTGCTCTTCCCAGTTCTGTGAATCACATGGTGCATCTACCATCCTGCTGGTGAGAGGAACCTCAGTAGATTGGTTTCACTTCTGGTTAAAATAAAGAACCTCTCCCCAAGCCAGCATTTGTGGATTAATAGTTTGGTGGTGGAAAGCCTCAATGGGCTGCTTTGGCCTGAAGCTCAGGGGCACAGATGTATAGTTTTCAAGAATATAAATCCCCAGGCTTTACAATCCCACCCCTCTTCATCTCCAGACCTTTTCTGACTCTTCAGATGCCTTCAAAAGCCATGCCTTGGGCTAGCAATTGTATGATCTAAAGTTGAGAGTTGAGGATGATGTTTTGTTCCTACCTCACCATCCTTTCAGAAAAAGTACACTTAATCACCAACCCCAACCATCATTGTTCCAGAATCATGGCCATTTCTGGTCCATGTCACTCTTTCTGAAAAGGTTTCTCTTCCGGCTGGTGTTTGACCATTAGTGCAACTGAGCTGAAGAACTTTAGAAGTCATCTGTGTAGAGTAGGCCTTGGAGCCAGCTTAGGAACTAATCATCATTAGGCCAGAAGTATAGAGGTCTAGAAGAAATGTCCAACCCCATATGGAAGTGAGTCATTTGTAGCATTGACTTTCAGGTGCTACTTCTAAGTTGCCATAGAGAAAAGGTCCACTTAGATAATCCAAAGAGGAGCCCAGGAGTGTGGAACAAGTGCAAAGAGGAAACGATGCCTCTGTTTCGCTGGAATTTTGATATTTAGATACAAGCAGCTGGGGGTAATGAGGCTGGGTGGAGGTATTTAAAGTTTTCATTGGGTTTCTGTTTGAAGTTTGGAATCTTGAAGTTTCAGGACCCATTGTCGTTGGGTTGGTTATTTTTATTTTTTCCTTATTAAGCCGGCTTTTTCTTTCATCCCCCCCCCCCAGCACTTAAACAATACGACAAAAAGTCTGTGTACAGCGCGAGTATTGTACAAAAATGAAAAAACTCCTGTTTCTTTCATTGTTTCATCCCCTTTTGACAAACGTAGTTGTGTAGAAGTGTTCCATAGATAGAATTTTGATGTCCTTCTTCCCGTCCCCCCTCCCCCCCAAGATGGTGACAATAATAATGAAAAAAATCAAATAATTCTCAAAACTTCAGGGACTGTTCAGGGCTCGCTTAAAGGGTCTGGACACTCAACTACATTTATACGACATAGTATTGTATCAAGCATTTTCTGTATTTTAATGAAAAAGCAAAACACTAGTTTCATATTTAAGATTTTAAGAATTCTAGGGTTGGGTGGGAGGGAAATACATTTTTGGTTCTGGTTCTGGTTTCTCTTTCTCTTTGTTCCCGTTTTTGTTTTGTTTTTTTTTGTTTTGTTTTTTGGTTCTGGTTTTTGTTTTTTGTTTTGAGATACAGAAAAGAGCCTCCTGAGGATTTTTTTTTTTTTAAGGTAAGATTACAGAGGCCCGACAGCTTAACTCTATGCTTTAGTCAGTTTAGATCCAGAATGTTTTTGGAGTTACAGGAGAGGATTATAAAGAATAAAGTAGAAAAAGTTGTATTAAAAGATAGCTCATACCCAAATTCACAAAAAAAAAAACTATTTTTAAACCAAAGCACATATGAATGAGTATGGAACCTCACTTGGCTCAGAAAAAAAATTAATATATTTATCTCATTGTTTACATAAACTTTTACAGTTACAGACCTCAACAGATCTAGGGGCCAGTCAAAATTAATTGTTGTTTTTTCCATTGGTTTAGCTGACAAAAGAGTCACAGATAATTGTGTGTAAGATGTTTTGTTTGTGCTGTTATGTAAAGGGGGGGGGGAAACTCCAACAACTACTCCAACCTCAACAGTTCAGTAGGAACTAATTTGTACTCCGGCATTTTTTAAGATGCTTTAGGAATAAGGTGGTGAGCCACCAGGGCCTTCAGAAGAACTTTGCATTCCATCAGCCTTGCCAGCATGACCAGTGGCCAGTGGGATAGCAGTTGGAGTGTAGTCCTTCTGTAAAAGGATGATCTTGGAAATAATAGGGCCACACACAACGAGAGAACGAGCTTCCATTTGTTAAAAAATTATCCCAGAAAACCTTTCCATGGCAAATTACGTATGACACTGGATCACAAAAAGTTCTCAAGTCAGAGAGTTTGAGACAATGGAATATTTCCTCCAGAGGGACAGTGGAAATGGTCTGCCCATGGTGGAGAACACCAACGGGAAATCTCTGTTGGAGGAGAGGAAATAAGCACTTAATGTTAGTTGGGTGTACTATGGTACTGGTCATTTGTCAAGATCCTTGGGGAATTGCCAAAAAGTGTGAATTCATTTAACCCAGTTTTAGACTCCACTGAGAAGGTGTGGAAGATCTTGGCGTGCTCCAATCCATAGCTTTTATCTTCAGCCTTAGTCTCAAGAGGTGACCCTGAGGCCTCTTGGCTGGTGCTCAGTGTTCTCCTGTGACGTCCCACAGATAAGAGTGCTAAGCTGGGAGAGATCAGGCTTAGAGGAAGTTTCAGTCTCCAGTGACCTGTGACCCTACAGTTGTTGCCCTCTTACAGCACTCTGTAATACTTCGCAACATCTGGAGGGTCCGGAGATGTTTCCCAGCTCCTGCTGTATTAGGTGCCCTCTTTAAATTCAGGAGGCGTGGTTCTTCTAGCCAAAAATCTTTTAAGTTTGATGACTGTTGTATTCTTTTTGGCATGCTAGCAAATTGGAAACTCTTCTCAAATGCAGGCTTTTAGTGAGGACATCCGCCAGTTGCAATCTGGTGCACTTCCTGAAGAGGCAAAGAGGCCTTCCCTCAGCACTAGGACATACACCAGTCTTGGTACACGCCATATCTGATCTAAGACCCGCAAGAGCCGTTTCTTACAGCTGTTTTCTCCTTTCCATGCGTACCTTTCCTGCTCCAGTGAGTTTGCCAGATTGTGACCTGGACTGGCTGGATCATAGCCTGAATGTTCAGAAGGGCACCTTCAATATTATTTTCTGTAAAAGAAAAATAATAATAATTCCCCTCCCCTAATATTTCCACTTTTTTTTTTCCCAAATGAGGCATCTTTTGAGTGTTTTGCATCATGTAAGTAAAAGCAAAATCACGCTTGCCAGTTCTAACTGAATGTTGTTTTTCCCCTCTGCTTTTTTAACATCCAAGCTGCCTCATTTAAAAAAATAAATAAATAAAAATTAGCATGAAATCTTTAGGGTGCAAAGAGGTAGGAAAGAGGCTGATGGAAAACAAACTTATTAATTTTGCCTGGTCTTGAATATCTAACAAAGATGGTGCAAACACTATTTGACAGTGTTTTTTTTTTTTTTTTTGTATCAATATGTACGTGCTTTATTGAATGTATTTATTTCTCAAGATTCTGTATGCACAGTTTTGCAAGGAGAAAAAAAATAAATAAACCTCAGCATTTGCAAAAAGACAAACGATGCATCAGCAGGGTCTTCGCTACAGAATTTCAAAAAAAAAAAAAGTTTAAAAAAAGTTTTAAAACTTAAAAAAAAAAAAAGAAACAAAAAGAATCTCAGAGACTTTCGGCATAGCCATAAACCATAACCTGTGAAGACAATACAAACAGTGGACTTTTGTAGCTCTTTTTTTCCATAAAAGACAAATATTGTTTTGCTGTATTTAAAACGTCTCCAGTTATAGCCGTGTCACTCTTATACAATTTCCTTCCTTTATTTTTTTTTTATTTTCTCTCATTTGTTTGTATGCGTGAGTGTGTGTACGTGCATGAGTAAACAAATGTGTAAAGCGCTTTTTTTCCTTTGAGAGGTGCAGGTCAAGTCTGGGTTAACAGTATTTTTTTTTTAATTTTCTGCCATGTCACTTCTGTTCTAAATATGGAAAAAAAAAAAAAAAGGAATCTCAGCTTTGAAGAGGAAACATTTGGGGGCATTTGGTGACAGAAAGCAAAATCTACGACCTTGAGGGGACGCGTGTATTTTTTATTTTCTTTTATTTTTTCATGCGATTGAGACAAACCTGGAGAACAGTTTGCTCAACCAGGAGAACAGAGACCGAGACAGTTCCAGGAAAGGCGGTCTTGGTGTCAAGAAGCTGTCCGGGTGTTGCCAAATGATGCCTCCCTGATGCCTGAATGAGAACAATGTTTTTGCTATTCTATTTGGTCATCGGAGTTACTTTTTTTGATGTTTACAATGCAAGCAATAATAAGCAGTTTTG